AAAAGTGCAACAATTAATGAATGGAAATCCAAAATGTCTGTAAATGTTCATTAAAATAAAATAAATTTTAAAAATTTAAAAATAGAAGGATAACTAGTAAAACATGTACAGGAACTAAAGGTGGGGAAGGGGGGACCAGAGGGGTGAGGATAGACAGGAGTGAAACCACAGGGCTGCACAGTTTGGTGGGTGGAGGGAGGGAGAGGAAGCAAATGGGAAGGATCCCGGCAAAAAGACAGGGTACTGATGGGCAAAGTTCAATGGGGATTAATGTTATAAAACATAATACATGAGAATGACTGTACATAACACAATGAAAATGAAGAACAGTGTGAAACACAATGTATATAAACTTTGTACACGAACCAATTTAAAAAATAACGTAAAATAGAAGGTATGAAACACAATGTAAATGAAAGATTGTATAAGACACAATGTATATGAATGAAACAAAATGGAAAGGAATTATACAAAAACCAATAAAAACATTTTTTTAAAAAATAGCGGGATTGGAGGAAGATTCATTCATCAACAACATGCATTGTGCAGGTGACGCAACCTTGCATGCGGAAACTGGAGAGCACCTGAAGCTCTGGCTGCAGAATATCAAGGACCGCAGTCTTCAATATGAATTGAAGCTCAACATCAAGAAAACAAAGATTCTTACCACTTAACCAATTGACAGCACCATGATAGATGGTGAAGAGATTGAGGTTGTTAATAGCTTCAGTTGACTTGGCTCCTCAATCAACATTCTTGATTTGGGTACCAGCACCCAGCAAATCAAAAGACAGATTGTACTGGGAAAATCAGCTGTCAGGGACCTCTCCAGAATACTGAAGAACAATTATGTCAGTCTGGAGACTAAGGTGTGCCTGATCCAGGTCATGGTCTTCACCATTACTTGCTATGCATCAGAAAGCTGAACAATGACTAGCGATGACAGAAGAATTAACGTCTTTGAGTTGTAGTGCAGGCAAGGATTATGAAGCTTCATCTGACATACTTTGGGCATGTTACAAGGAGGAACCAGTCCTTGGAAAGTGACGTCATGATTACAAGGGTGGAGGGACAGTGCAAGAGATAAAGCTCTCAATAAGATGAATTGACTCAGTGACTGGGGTAATGTTCATTTGTTG